TTATCCACATGTCAATAATTACGTGCTGCAAACATGGACCTTTAAAAAATAAAAATTGAAAAAAAACCTATTTGTGTACATCTTGAAATTTTCAGTTCAACTAGTTTTAATATAAGAAAATATGATTGGCTTTAAATTTTTATTAATACAAAATGTGAGCTTTATCATATATTAAAGAAAGCAGAGACAATATGAACCAAAACTGATTTATTTATCCAAGTAAAATACTTTTAAACATATATAAAAATGCAAAATAACTAATTTTTTCAGTAGATATACACGGGGTTATATCAATATGTCAAAACAACATGCTTAATCATTTTTACTCCATCTTAAATCACCTTATTGAACGATACATCATAAAATCAATAGTTGTACACCTAGGAAATTTACCAATAGAGCTCTCTTCCACTGGTGTATATATTTTAATCTGCCTCATGTGGGTGTCTCTTCCATTTTGGTGATTGGCTAGAACAGCAATCTGTATCATGAATGTGCGAGTTGGCTTCTTATGATTATCAGTTAAGGGAACATGAATCCAGCCACTTGGTTCCACCAATTCAAGTTGCTTTTCAAATATGTTCTGAATAGCAATGAAGCCTTTAAAAGGTCACTTTGTTATCAAGCTGTCTTCAAAAAGACTTAAAAAGCTAAGCCAAGACCCGAATTTCTTGAAGATTATGAAAATTATTTCCTACTCTGACTGAGATCTTGCTTGGTGTGTAGCTTTCATCAGACTTGTAGTTGGCATAAATACATAATGTCTTCACTGTTGTTTTTCTTCTGAACTGAATATTCACTAAATGAGGCTGGGAGCCATCTGATTGCCAGTAAGTTTCTAGATTGTCATCTCGTAACTGATCCACTCCAAATCCTGGTTTGCAAGATGAGAGTGACCAAACAGCTTGTGACCCAATTTCCCTTACTGTTCCAGTTCTTTCCAACTGCTTAGGGTCAGCACCAGGAGGTGTCTTATCTGGCGTGGTCATTTTTAAAATATTCACGTCTCAGGATCTCAGGAACCTCAGCAGGTACGCCTCACTCACACTCAGCTCCTAAGCACCCTCATGCTTTGTTCATGCACGCCTTACTCTCCTGGTAAAATTTGTGCATTCTCACCTAGAGATTACCAGAACCCAAGTGATCATGTAAATGAAATCCGCATCACTTAAGTACTGACAGATAGCCAAATGAACTTGACCAGGACATTGTCTTCCTTCAAGACCAGATAGACTCGTGGGCAGCAGAGGCCATACTACATTGGTGGGGACTAGATCTCTTAATAGCTAAAAAAAAAAAAGAAAGGACTGTGTTAGTCCCTAAAAGAAGAATATATTTTCTTGCCAATAGGTCTAAAATACCATCAAACTACTGATAGAGACCATAATTTAAGATTAAAATCTGCTTCCACATCCACAGCTCATCAAGAAGCCTTTAGAGGATGGGTCCAGCTCCCTTGAACTCCCAGAACAGTCAGGGTGAAGGTTCCTTGGTCTCTAAGTAGGTAGGGCCAACAGGCTCATGTAGCTGGAAGTAGCTACAAAAGGTGGAACTTCCTGCCTCAGCTCAACCTCAAAGGTTTTTGGGGACTAGTGCTCTCAGGGGGCAATAGTACAGTTAAAAACAAAGGAGCTGAGTCACTCCCTTCCTTTTGTTCAACTGTAAACACCACCCCACCCCAATGATTATCCAGGTTGAAGCTCAGGAGCTTTTGAAGATTGCTGACATCAGTGAGAGAGACAATGGGAGACATCTTGTTTTAGTGGTGTCTGACTCTACAAGTACAAGAGACCTGAGTTATGGAGACCCCTTTTTCTTTCTCCTTCATACTTGATGCCCCTGCTCCTGCTGCTGTCCCATGATCCTCTGATCTTCAATAAATGTAGCTACTTACTACTGAATTAAACAAGGCTAAGCAGTTCTCATTATTGTGAGAGTTCTCAGAAAATTTAGCTAAAATGTTAATGTGACTTTCAAATATATGCGTAATATATTTCCTACGTACTACTACGCGGTGTACGCTTGCCAATTCTTTCCTTGTCTCTTTCTCTACACAAGGATCTAAACTATTTTTGGCCCACTCAACTGTAACAGTCTGAATATAGTTTCCAAAAGTAACTAGCAAATCAGTTTGGAGAGGAGACAGAAATGTGTGGTCGGTCACCACAGCAGTGCTAATGGACCTCCCGTACTTTCCAGCCATCCTGGTGTGTAATGCATGGTTGAGAAGGCACGCACTGGCTACGCGGCTTCCAAGGGCACAGGTACTTATTAACCCTGCTGCCATTAAAAACAAAGCACACACACACACACACACACACACACACATATGCACGCACACACACGCACACACACATACACATATGTGTGTATGTGTGTGTGTGTGTGCATGTTATTCTCTGTATAATCTACCTCTGATTCTGAGGTTTTAAACATGACCTTAGTACTGATAATCTGAGCTTTTGATAGTTCTAGTGTCAGAAGCTATTTAAGCCCAAGTCTACTGAATCAAGGGAATGATTAAGGGGGCAGAGGAAAGGTGGCAGAGGTAATAACTGGTTACAGGGAGTTAAAGGCTATTTCTAAAACTGAAGTTTTCTTTCCTGATCAAATAGGGCTGAGAAATACTGAATTAAACAAGGCTAGGAGTACTGGGGTGATGGCTCAGTAGAATACGTGCTTGCCTGGCAAGCGAAAAGGCCTGAGTTCAATCCCTGGTTCCGCAAAAAAAAGATTAATGAATTAAACCAGGCTAAGCAGGTCCCATTAGTGTGAGATTTCTCAGAAAATTTAACTAAAATGTTAATGTGACTTTCAAATATGTGCATAATGTATTTCCAAAACATAGCTGACTTTGGAAATTTTTTTCTCAAAACATCTTTTTATTTTATTTATTATGATTATTATTTCTTTTTTTGATGGAACTGGGATTGAACTCAGACCCCTGCCCTTGCCAGGGAAGCACTTATTCTACTGAACCATCTCCCTGGCTCCTCAACCATCTCCCCGGCCCCTCTCAAAACACCTTGAAAATCTAGTATCCCATGGATTGTTTTGGAGAAACACTGATTTAGGTAGATAAATCAAGAAAAAAAAAAACTTGAAAAAATTGTCTTAGAATCCAGAATATAGAATCCAAATGGTATAGTACAAATAAATAAGTAAATACAAACCATAAACTAGATAAGTAATTTGAAACCAGAGGTTTGATTACACTGAAAAAAGCTACAAACTAGAAGAACAAAAACCAGAATTTTTAAGTTGTCTCTCAATTCCTGAGCAATATAAACCTAAACCACTTCAAGAAAGGATAAAGTTTTTCTCCTTTCTCTTTAGATCAATGACCTAGCTATAGGCTATATATGTCCACCTTGGCTTAATTTTAAGAAGAAAGTTTAGAAAGATAGTTTTTGTTATTACTTCTCAAATATGTCCACAGAATGCCAATAGCTGAAGAGCAATGCTAATTCCTCATTGGTGGTCTCATAATCAATAAAATATATAATTTGTATTTTACGAGTACATTGTATTCTTTCACGGGACTCAATAATTGAATTTTTTTGATTGAAAAGTAAATGCAGGGTCCATGCATTATTAATTTTCCTTAGTTAACATCTAGGTCAAAAGTTATTGCTAATGTCGATCCCTTCTTCTGATCAAAAACTTACATTTATGGGTAGAAATATTTGAGAAGTTTTGGGGAATGACTGGAAGTGACCATTTTTCTGATCTGCACTGGCCGGTCTTATTGAGAAGTCTCTGCCCAGGCTGGGCTATTGGAGTTCCCTTCCCAGGCTTAGGGGGACCCTGTTGCATCCCTTTAGAGTGGCTGGCAGGTATAAAGTCCATAATTCATGATGATGTGGGGGAACATTTGGCATCCATTGTACCACGAGAGACGTCTGAAATGCCGAACCATCTCCTCCAGTTCTGTGACTAACTCCTGATCCCTCCGGGAGGAGTACAATTTCAAATCCTGAAGCAGGCTCAGTGGTGCACACCTGCAATCGCAGCAGTGAGGAGGCCGAAGCAGGAGGCTGAGGGCACGTGCCACCATGTCCATGTTAGTTTATTTGATTTAGAAGGTTCTTCTGGGGGTGGTGGAATGTCAGAGTAAAAAGAAACACTAGAATGCTAGCAGAACCTCTGCTTTGAGTGGGAGATTTGAGTGCCAGGATGAGACTGCACAGTACGTTCCCATCGTGACGAATGGCTTACTTAGCTCACGAGTGAGGCAGCTCGAGGAAGGCCCGAGCCAGAGTTGGCTACTCATCTGCATTGATGGAAACGGAAATAAGAATATAAAGTGAACTAGGACTCTGGGCCAAGGGTGGACTTCCTCAGGCGACACGGACTGCAGGTCCCTCCCGCAATCATTCTCTACTAAGCTCCTGAGTTTTGAGGAATTAAAATGCAAAATAACCAGGTTTTTTGGTTTTTTTTTTCTAAAATCCCATGTTTCCATATATCCTACGTGTTGCAGAAGTGAATTAGGAAGTTCACGTTCCATTTGCTCGTTTTAAACCCACAGGGCCACCTGTGACAGTGGCCACGGAATGACTGAGCAGTTCCTGTGCTCTGCATTTCTGTAATTATCTCTGGCTCGAGGGGCCATGCAACCGCCCACTGAGGACCCCTGGAAACCCACGAGCTATTCTTAACTCTTCTTTCTTTCTTTTTTTAAATTTTATTTATGTGTGTGTGTGTGTGTGTGTGTGTGGCCAGCCCAGCCCACCAGGGGGCGGGGCTGGCTGGCATGTGGTGCTGGGGGATTGAACCGCGGTCCCTGTGCTTTGCTAAGCTTGTTCTAAGTAGGTGCTTTAGACCACTGAGCCATCTCACCGGCCCCTTAACTCTTCTTATAGCCAATAAGCTCTCCTAACCTCCCCCTTTGGTTCGGGACTTCATCCCCTGATGTGGAGACCACAATCTTGGCATGTACAGTAACAATATTATGTGGTGCCAGATCCTGAAGGCCCTGCCACCAAGCTAAGGTTCGGTTTTATTCTGTTAGTCCGTCGTTCCGAAATAGAATAAAGTTCAGACTGATTTGCTGGGGATGGTGGTACACACCTGTAATCTCAGCACTCAGAAGGCAGAGGCAGGAGGGTTATTACAAGTTTGAGGTCAGCCTGGATGAAATAATCTCTCAATAAATAAATAAATAAATAAATAAATAAATAAATAAATAAACAAATGATTCAGGCCTCTTTTAAGGAAAATTCAAATCCCTGATATTGACTTATTTATAATATTAATTACATATATACATCATAAACCAGCATACAAAGTCTTTATGCCAGGGCCAGAAGGATAGCTCAGTGGACTAAGGACCTACTTAGGCAAGTTTAGGGTTTGATCCCTGCCACACTGGCCCTGCCTCTGGGAGGGCTGAGCCGGCCACTGAGACTGGGAGTGGTGGTGCGCACCTGTAATCCCAGTGCTTATCTTTTCTATTATAAAATTTGTAAACCTTGGGGTTCTCATCTAGCATTGTCTACATTTAAGTTTTTCTTTCCGAATTGCCTGTGGCCATTAAAGCAGTGTATTATTTTTCCACAGTGCATTGTTTCTATGATGTCAAAAACCCCTCAATTTATTAACTCACTTAAGAAAATGGAAGTGCCTTTCATTGCAAAGTTGATCTGCAAGAGGACCTGTGTTCTCATAACCCGAAGAAGCATTTGACACGAGTGGGTGCTACAGCAGGTGGAGGAGGGTCACTACCACTTGGCATCAGGTCCTGACCAGCTAGGTAGACTAGTCCTTTCCCTGTCATCCTTTAACTGGCTGCCTTTTGCTCTTACAGGGCTGTCATGCAGTCTTTAATGTCTTGGGAGATGCCCCTCTCTCACCACCACCTGGTCTTTCCTCTGCCCACCTGTACCCCATCACTTTACTAACTCCCGCTATCCTTCAGACAGAGCATTCTTTAATTTTTTTTTTTTTTGTTGTTGTTGCCAGCTCAGTCTGCCCTGAGGCTGGGGCTGGCACAGCATGCGGTGC